TATCATTATCCTCATCCTCATCCTCATCCTCATCCTTATCCTCATCCTTACTCTTATTCTTATCCTTATCATTATCATTATCCTCATCCTCATCCTCATCCTCATCCTTATTCTTATTCTTATTCTTATCCTTATCCTTATCCGTATTCATATCCGTATCCGTATCCCTCATGCCACTGAAATAAAGGCGGCTGGGCATAGTACTGATCACACATCCTATTTGTGCCGTGGTTATAGAAACATACTACTACTTCTGCCTCATATATCTTGGGAACTAATGATAAAACAGTGATTTAAAAAAAAATGTATACATGTTTGAGAAATATATTTTATAATAGAAACTGACCAAAACGCAATATGTTTTACTACACGTTAAAATATATGTGTGCCAAAGAAGAGAAAGAACTATGTAGCTAAACATCATTGTGTTCTAACAAAGTAGCAAGAAATATTCTTTTATCTAAACCTAAACCAATAACTAAACATCAACCTAAATTTAAGGCTAAAACTCTGAACCCCGAAAGGGATGTTTTATCTGAAACCGCAAACAAAACTTTATTCGGGACCTCATTTTAACGTGATCTGGAAATTTAACCTGAAATAATTATCATTAAAAAAGTTTTTAAAAACCCACGTTTTCTGATTGAACTAAAAAGTAGAAAATAAATGCTATACATCACAATAACGCAAGCGATCACTCTACTATAAGCGATGAAAAACGTGGGGCGCCGAAGTAAACGTTTTTTATCGGTCATTGTTAATAAAAGATGTACAAGTTATATTACTATTGATTAGATAATACTATTGACTTTTATTAGGGAGCTTGTAGAGAGTCAACAGTATTAGAAACTGTAAGAAAATCACGGCGCTTCGAATATTCTATTGTCATCCGAAACAAAGCTTCCCTGAAAATTTCAGCGCGCTAGCTAACTGGGAAGTGCCCGAAATTTCGATCGCAAGATTTGATTGGAGAACCAAACAAACAAACAAACAAACAAACAAACAGACGCGAAAGCAAGTTAAAGAAAACGTGGGAATAAAACCCTAATAATGATCCTAATCTCAAACCAAACTATATATATATATATATATATATATATATATATATATATATATATATATACATTATTATTTGTTTTGTATATATTTTACATACACTTCTAATATTTTCTTGACCTACGTTTCGTTACTTTTTACTGTTTTTTCAGTTCGAAGTTTTTAAATATAAAAAGCCTACTACTTTTAGTTTAAAAAAAAATGTCCCACCATTTGCATGAATAAAAAAGTGTTCTTACATTCGATTATGCCATTTTTTTTTAAATTTTCCATCTTTAAATAAAATTCAGTTTATACATTTAGAACATCCAATATATTTTTTTGACTAAGTATCTATGGTTCAGTTCTCCATAAATTGCTGAAGATACTGCTCTCGCGGCCTCGGAAAATATGTGACGGCAGAGAGAGAGACAGAGAGAGAGAGAGTGAGACAGAGATAGAGAGAGAGAGACAGAGAGAGAGAGAGAGAGAGAGAGAGAGAGAGAGAGAGAAGTGCACAAATGGGATTTTCTATATTATGATACCCAATTATTGCCAACACCACCGGCTCCGCAAACGCAGCCGCAGCTACAACCGCAACCGCAACCGTAACCGTAACCGTAACCGTAATAGTAACCGTAACCGTGTAACCGTAACCGTAAACGTAGCCGTAACCTTAACCGTCACCGTCACCGTCACCGCAACCGCAACCGTAAACGCAACCGCAACCGTAACCGTAACCGTAACCGTAACCGTAACCGTAACCGTGAACGTGAACGTGAACGTGAACGTGAACGTGAACGTGAACGTGAACGTGAACGCGAACGCAAACGCAAACGCAAACGCAAACTCCAAAGGAAACTGTAACTGTAACTGTAACTGTAACTGTAACTGTAACTGGAACTGGAACTGGAACTGGAACTGGAACTGGAACTGGAACTGTATCTGCACCCCATGCGAATGGCTATCTCTGTTTCTGTCAATGATCTGATCACTGAGTAACTAATAGATATACCAGCACTAATTCAATGATATTAAGCCTATCTTTTCTTTGCTCCGACTTTTGAATCTATAAATAGAATAACAAAAGGAAGGAAACAAAATTTTAAACTGATTTCCGCCACTAAAAAATAACCTACAGTTCACAACACATCGCATAGGAATTTAAAATAAATATTAGGCCTATAGGTTTAATATATATTGCATAGAATAAAGAAATTTAGATCTAGTGTTCTGGTTAGTAGTTATTTCATGTTTATTAGAATATAGTCTAGAATCTAATCATACGGCGGCATAAAAAGAAAGTTTGAAGGAAATAGAATAGGAATCTAGAGAAGCGGAGGTAAGAAGGTTAAATTAGTAATTTACATGATTTTTATTGTAGTTTCACTGTTTGTCAGGCCCAATTATTAAATCTTTAGAGTAGAGGTCAAGCTTGATCATTTGTGGTATCTATTGTGGTGCATTAAAATGAAAAGCCCACTTACTTAAATATAGAATCTAGTAGGCCTATACTATAACTATACTGCCCTATACTTTAAATTTGTTACCACAAGAAAAAAGCCTATTTCCTATTATTAGTTAGAATTAAATTAAATTGAAATATTTGGTTATCTTTATAGTTTATAGTAAATGCATGATAATGAGCATTATTCAAGCTGTTGTTATATTTAGGCTTATAGGCCTATATACTCTATAGCTAAGGCTATATACTATAGACTATATATTATACAGGGGCGGAACTACAGTGCCGCCAGACCCCGCAATGCGGGGGGGCCCACGCCAATTAGGGGCCCACGGCCGACCATAATAATTTTTTTATAGTTTAAAAAAAATAAATTTTCTTGCATTTTTGACTTGATGTTTGTTTTGTAAAAAAGATTACCGTAGCTGCGGTTGGATTATCTTTATTCTATAGACACCACCCTACGCTCATTTTTCCTTTGTTTTTAAACCACTGTGAAAGCCGAGTCCTCTTTCTCCTACAATAAAACTTATCAAAGATTAGCAAACGTTCAAACCACTTCCATGACTTATATTCCTTTTTTAAATAGTCAAATAGTGATGCTCATAAGCTCCTTTTAATAGATTTGTACTAAACAAATTAAAAAGCAATTACTTCTCTTTATTATTATTTGCTTATAAATTACTTACTAAAGAATGACTCTGTATAAAAAGGAAATACATTTAAAATTAATAATATAAATACAAAAAAACTTAAAAATAAACATGACACGGGACACCATTATTTACAGAAAGCTTTCATGTTTTATATTCTTTTGACCGATTAGAGATTAGTAGTCATACGGAAGAGATAACATATAACTGATTTTCACATAACAGACTAATGCACTAGTCTAATGTGTTATTTTCTTACACACATACATTAAGAACTAAAAGCTCTTCTGATATGTGTTCATATGATTAACACTGACTAATGTCAAATAAGCTGACCCTCATCTACACCCCATTCTCCATTTATTGCACCACAAACTTTAAAATTTCGATTGTTAAAGATGTTTTTGCTACCAAACTTTTAATTATTTTGACCTAACCAGTATTTAATCTGCTGTACTTCTTGTGATTTGATTGTGTCTATATCTAACAATATACATAAAAGAAAATATGTACTTCAGGAATCTCTATCATAATAAACCACATTATAAAAAAAAACAAAAAAAAAAAAAACAGACTAATGCACTTACACACATGACATGATGTTGTAGTTTGTTTTAATTATACAAAAAAAACCCACGTATTTCTCAAACCACGAACAGGCCAGCAATGAGTATCCTATGTTCGTATTTTGTGTTTGTGTATACACACACACACACACACACACACACACACACACACACACATATATATATATATATATATATATATATATATATATATATATATATATATATATATATATATATATATATTTATATGGAAGGGGGGGGGGCCTAAAAAAATTTTTGCGGGGTGGCCCTCCTTTTCTAGTTCCGCCACTGATATTATATATCAATATTGAGCATAAAACTTAAAGCATGTAAGCATACACAATAATAATATTCATTAGACCTATAGTAACTAAGACTCGTACTATTTAGTACTACTTTAATACTACCTTTAAACTATTAGGCATAATTAAATGATGATTAATCATTTCAGTGTTTTCCACACTTGAGAGGAAAGAGGTTGTAGGGAACTTAGAGACTAAACCTAGTCAACATACTGGAATTCTGGTGATAACAATAGCAGCAGATAGTATGCGGCTCAGTTAATACTAAAAACAATTGATTTTAGTAATTAGTGGTAAGCTCTTTTTTAAAATAATATATTATAACATGGTATTGCAAAGGTTCAGGTTGTCCAATAAATGGTAATTAGAGTCAGGGTTTTTAGGACTATAGTTTAATGCTTGGTTAGTAATATGCATCAAGTTGGGAAAGACTATGAAATTAAAATACATAGAATTTAATGTGTTCATTCGCAAACTTTACTATTTAAAAAAATTTAGGCCTGCTAATTATTGCTGAATAATAAAATCACTATACTTATCCACTATATTATGTTTAAATAAAGTGAGTTTAGATCAGTCGAGTAAATAAATTTAATAACAAGACATAACTAAAATTTACAAATTTACAATGAATATATATATATATATATATATATATATATATATATATATATATATATATATATATATATATATATATATATATATATATATATATATATATATATATATAATTTGATTGCTATTTTATAAAAGTATGTAAATCACAGAACAAACATTACTTTGTATTGTGTCTACAACATAACAAAAATGCTACTACTTTGATGGATTGCACTAAATAGGGGTTAGCTTTAATTTGATAATTAGTGAGATATTGCTAATCTATGTGTAAATTGCTTTTCAGGACTATTAGTGTGTGTGTGACCATCCAGATATCATAACTACAACTGATGTTCAATTACAAGGGATATTAATCAGTCTCCGTGGACTATACACTGTGCCTAGTTTCATCCTCAGGTAACTGTACTATAGACATAACCCATTTTTTAAAGTAATTATTATAGCAAGAGATAGCATTATATGTTATAAAAAATATAATGGATTTTAATCCAAAATATGTATTAATTATTGTCTGTTCTTAAATTCTAATAAATCAGTGAGTTGTACAACAGAGGGTATTATATTTGAATGATAATTGAAACACATTGTTATAGAGCTCAAAAGTATGCACTCACCTAATGTAATTAATATACTGAAACAGTTTTATTGAAGCATATTATTTCATATTTTACCACACAGAGACTGATGTGTAAGCTTAAATTAAAGACATCAAATCAAAGTATCAGCCATCAAGAGGGTAAATATTGATAGTCTACTTCATTAATCTTCAATATGAATGAACACAATTTAAAATCTGTAATCTTTGCTGATAATGTTTGTTTCTTGTTATTCATCATGTTCAGTGCTTTATCTTTTCAAAGTAATTAGTTATAGTAGAGATAGTAATATAAATTTGTAATGTATTTCTCTTGCTAGTTCCACAAAAGAAAGTATCAAAATATTTTGCCTTTATTGCATTTACAGAAGAACATTCAAAATCATATTGTGATACACAAGTCAAGCAAGTCTATGACCAGCATTATGATACAGGCCAAGAAAAAGCTGGACATTTGATTGGAAGGGTAGCACAAAAAAGATGGGTTATCACTAGGGAAACAAGCTCGGAATACAGTTCACTGTTGGGACAGCAAGACAAATACTTATAAACTTATTTGGATCATTTTTGCTGTTTATTATAATTCATCCAATTGTCTTATTAAATATATATATTTATATATATACACAATTCCTAATATAGAATTTCTAAAAATGTTTTATTAAAATATTTAAAAATGAAACAAGAATTTTCATTTTATTCTGCAAAAACTACATTCTGTACATTATTATTTTCAAACTACATCATATATTTTTCTCTTCTCTGATAAAAAAATATTCCTCATATTTTTTGTGTCAAGTATTTTATTTTTATCTATGCAATACTATATTCCTATTTTATAACAATTACTTTTATACAAATTCTTTTGAAAACTGTTCTTTATTGATTTGTATCATTTTCTTTATTTTTGAAAAATAAAACTTTGTTTGGGAATCCTTTTTTTTGTTTCTTTACAAATTAATAAACATAAAGACCTACTAGGCTTAATATCCAGCAACATTAAACAATTAAGTAGGGCCTATTGTTAGTAATGGTAAATTTTATACTAATTAATGTGATTTCTCCTGGCCACCTTGTTCTGAATACCTTCAACTGTGTCAATGTTGCTACCAACTCCAATAATTAAAACTGAAGCCATTTACTATGAAGTAAAAGTTGGGTGCAATCCAAATCCACCCAGCTGCCGGGGGCAAGGTACCAAACATGATGACCAGTAGAGGGTTAAGAAACTCTAACTCTAACTCTAACTGCAAATGCAATTGCAAGTGCAAATGCAAATACAAATGCAAATGCAAATGCAAACGTTTACTGAGAGCTTAGTGTACGCAGGGACGTCTAACAGCCGATCACGGGATCAGAACTCAAGACTTTGGAGTTAGCAGTCGTAAGTTACACCATCTGAACTAAATAATTCACGATAAAATATATTGTAAAGAAGTTGGAGAAAAATATACCGATTTGAAATTATTAGAAAAAACAATCCGGGAATATGAGAACGTTTTCGCTCCGTTTGAAAGTTTCTATATTTTCACGTTGGCTTAGTATTTACCGTTTAAAAAAGTTTTTAAAAAATCGATTTAGGCTTTACATTTGTGTTAAGAGTTGGGTTTGCGAGAGAAGTTAGGTGTTTATTAATGCTGGTGCGAGATATAATGAATGGTGATGATTTGTGTCGAAACTGTGTTGATGTGGAGAGAAAGTAGTTCGGCTTATTCTAGGGTACCGAATGGAAAGGCTGTTCGGGTTATGCTGTTGATGTGAGAAATTATATGTGTTAGTAATTTGAATGAAACCTGAAATACGAATTCAGTCAAGTGTATTCACCCCGTCTGTGACCTGTGAGAAGGGATATCGGCAGTGAAGAGCCCAGGTTGTTTTATAATGATAAATTTGAAGTCCTCTCTCAGCCCTAACAATTGGGTTATTTGTCAATTTATCAAAAAATAGCTTTGTTTTTACAAGAATTGTATAAGAGAGAAGCTACTGTTTATTTGAAATTATTCGTCTGCATAATGTATACTACCATTAAAAGATAGTTAAAACTAAACATTTTGCTCCTGTGTTAGGGTTAGGGTTAGGAATTAGGGGCCCACTATCCATTAAGATTTGTTATTGTAAAAATGTACGTTTGTTGTATTGGAAGAACTGTTTTGCTGGAATTATAGTTAAATGCATTACTGACTTTGTGTAGATATTTAGAAAGATAAGCAAGATAAAGATTCCTCAGTATTGCCCTTGTAACGGGTACCGATGGCTAGTAATATACAATAGTGATGGAGTGATAATTAAAGATAAGCATATGGTTTAAGGTTAGAGACATAGTTAGGGATTTGGAGATGGCCCTGGGCCATAGAAAGGTATTCGTATAATATGTATTTTGTAGTGTTGTCATTACAAAGGGTGGTAACTAAGAGGAGATAATTGATCGCGGGGCTAATCACCTGGTGTGGTTAGTGATGGGTAACGTCATACCCCCAAGGTAAGGTATGCCACATTTCAGAAATAATTAAGGTTGATTATTAGCTATATGCTTTTTTAAAGTTATATTTGTAATATTATTGGCTACAGGGGCGGGACTACAATACCGCCAGACCCCGCAATGCGGGAAAGGACGTGGGGAGGCAGGCCGTTAAGGGGGACCACAGTCGACCGTAATTAATTTCTTTATGATTAAAAAATGTAATGTTTCTTGCTGTAACGCTCCTCACATGTCACCTGATTGTGTGTGGTGTGTGCTCGAACGACAGGTAACCTCCTTTTTGTGTATAACTGTAGCCTTTGGTTGAGTGTGTTAACATGGAGCGAGAAGTGTTCCCGTGAGGTGTGTTAGATGACGGGTGTCAGAGTGTGTGCAGTGTGTGAGGCAGATGAATGTAGTGTCGCTGTGGACGTGGCTTTGGAATTTTGTGTTAAGTATCGTTATTTGTGTTGTAGAATATTGTATCTTTTATTATTTTATTATTGTTTTTTTAATGGTGAGTTATCTTAACTAAATGCTTTTATGATTAATACTGATATTAATGGGCAAATATTAAGATGGCTATTCAGTTCAATAAATATAAAGCATACTTCAATGGTTAACACATTAAAACATCAGGTTAGCAATTAGCTTACTACAGTGATGAGTATTACATGTTTAGATTTCAGATTAAACTCCAAATTATTTTACCACATGATATGAAATAGTATTGACAGATGCTACCATACAGAAGGAGAAGGCTATTTAAACTTAGATAGCAATCTCAATCTGTAAAGTAACAAAATAATGTCGTTTTATTAGTCACAAAAATATTCCAGTCTGACTTACCAACAAAAAATCTGATTCTTTTAAGATATCAGTATCTCTCAATATAGCATCCTTACCATACAACAGACCAGGCTCTCTCAACAGACCAGCCTCACTCAACACACCAGTCTTACCAGAGAACAGCCTCTGTAAACAGACTCTTACCATACAACAGACCAGCCTCTCTCAACAGACCAGTCTATCTCAACTGACCAATCTTACCATACAAGACACCAGCATCTCTCAACTGACCAATACTACCAAACAAGACACCAGCCTCTCTCAACATACCAGCCTTACCATACAACAGACCAGGCTCTCTCAACAGACCAGCCTCTCTCAACAGACCAGCCTTACTCAACACACCAGTCTTACCAGAGAACAGCCTCTGTAAACAGACTCTTACCATACAACAGACCAGCCTCTCTCAACAGACCAGTCTATCTCAACTGACCAATCTTACCATACAAGACACCAGCATCTCTCAACTGACCAATACTACCAAACAAGACACCAGCCTCTCTCAACATACCAGCCTTACCATACAACAGACCAGGCTCTCTCAACAGACCAGCCTCTCTCAACAGACCAGCCTCACTCAACACACCAGTCTTACCAGAGAACAGCCTCTGTAAACAGACTCTTACCATACAACAGACCAGCCTCTCTCAACAGACCAGTCTATCTCAACTGACCAATCTTACCATACAAGACACCAGCATCTCTCAACTGACCAATACTACCAAACAAGACACCAGCCTCTCTCAATATACCAGCCTTACCATACAACAGACCAACCTCCCTCAACATAATAGCCTCTCTCAACAGACCAGTCTTACCATACAAGACACCAGCATCTCTCGACTGACCAATATTACTGAACAAGACACCAACCTCACTCACCAGACCAGTAGTAACATACAAAAAAACCAAACTCTCTCTAAAGACAAGTCTTACAATAAAAGACACCAGCATCTATCAACAAACCAGCCTCTCTCAACAGACCAATCGTACCATACAAGACACCAGCATCTCTTAACAGACCAGTCGTAACATACAAAAGACCAAACTCTCTTAAAAGACAAGTCTTACAATACAATAGACCAGACTCTCTCAACGGACCAGTCTCTGTTAACTGACCAATCTTACCATACAAGAGACCAGCCTTTCTCAAAAGATTAGTCTTTACAATAGACCAGCCTCTCTCAACAGACCAGCCTCTCATAACAGACCAGCCTCTCTCAAAAAGACCAGTCTTAACATACAAGACACCACCCTTTTTCAACAGACCAGTCAAACCTATCAAGAATTCAACGCGAATAGTGCTCTATGATATAACTCTGATGCTATTATCTACTTCAAAGTCACTAGCAGATAGCTGGCAATTGCTAAACTAAGGTCGTAAGATTATGATCTCATCTGTAGCCCTTGACCAGTTGTACATGAGCAGAAAAGAGATAAAAACTGTCATATATGAGCACCTAAAAGCAAGTAATATACACATTTTTATAATGATTTGCCTGATTTTAAAAACATGTTGCCATTTTAATGTTTCCTCGTGCGACGTTTTTTAAAAAATAAATTTAAAATTATTTTTTTTACATTTGGTTGCATTTTGTAAAATACGTAAACCTTAAGTCATTATTAATGTAGTTAATGTGTTATGTCGGTGCCCTGTCAAAACGGCCCCGTTAATATGACCACGTCAAATCGACCTCCGACAAAACGACCCAGTCAGAATAGCCCCGTCAAAAGTGCCCCGATTTATTGTCTCCCGTCAAATCGGCACCCGTTACATTGACTCCCGACATATAGGCTCCAGATAAATGGGCTCCCGATATTTAGACTCCCGACAAATTGACTCCCGACATATTGGCTTCCGACAAAATGACTCAGGACATATTGGCTCCAGACGAATGAATGGAATAACCACTATTGGGTTAAAGGTAACAATTTTGTCCTACCTCCAATACCACTATAACCTCATTTAAATACCTGAATGAAATTGTTTTTCATGAACAAACATCAATTCACAAACAAATCGAGCCCTTAACAGCTTAATTCCACAAATTCTAAAGTGTTGGTAATGTTTAATCCACAACAGTAAAGATCTGTTGCTTAAAGGCGAGCACAGAAGTGTAAATGTATAATATACATGATGTTTACAGGATAACGGCATTTTGTTTTGATAACCTACAAGCATACTGCATGCAGCAATGTACAGCGTGGACCCCTCTCCCTACACAATGAGTTGGAACAGCCTATAACCGACTGGTTTATGGAAGTTATAGATACTATTGCTTATAATAGATCAACTAATATAAAAATAAGGC